ATATATATATATATATATATATATATATATATATATACACACACACACACACACACACACACACACACATATACATATATATGAATATTCAGCCATAAAAAAAGAATATAGCCATTTAAAACAACATGGATGAAGGCATTAGGTTAAGTGAAATTAGAGAAAAAAAAAAAACCTTACAATTCACATATATGTGGAACCTTAAAACAAAATACCATAGTTCAAAGATACAGAGAACACCCTGGTGGTTGCCAGAGCTGGATGGGAGTGGGTGCGAGGGGTATAAAATGAGTGAAGGGGGTCAAAAAGTACAAACTTCCAGTTATAGAATAAATAAGTCATGGGGGTTTAAGTTACAATAGGAAGACTATGGCTAATAATACTGTGCTGCATACTTGAAAGTTGCTAAGAGAGTCCATCTTAAAAGCTTTCATAAGAAAAAATATTTTGTAATTATGTATGGTGACAGATGTTGACTAGACTTATAGTGATTTAGCAATATATGCAAATTATCAAATCATTAAGTTGTACAACTGAAATGAATATACTGTAATGCCATACATCAATTATATCACAATTTAAAAATGAAAAGGCAAAACAGAAGGGACTGTTTATACAAGGTGATACCTGAGCTAGTAAGATGGACTGACAAAAATGAGAGTCATAATGGGTGAGCTATTAAGGAAAAAGATATGGAAGTAAGGTTGGAAATCTCTAGTGGCCCACCAGTAATAATTGTAGTCCAAAACATCTTAGGTGCTCTCCAGAGAGCTATCAGTTTATGAGTATGAAGGAATCATACAGATGTTGACACCAGTCATCTTTTTAAATGGAACATTTGAAGATATGCTCCTTAATTCACAAAGGTTTTTACTTAAAGTATAAAGAAAAACATGTGTGGATACAGAAGGACTAAAGAGAATCATTAGAGAGTAAGTTTTTTTTTCATTGATTTCTGAAAGGGAGAGGAAGACAGCTACATCAATGAGAGAGAATCATGTATCGGCTGCCTCCTGTACACACCACATTGGGACTCAAACCCAAAACCCGAGTATGTGTCCTTACCAGGAATGGAACCGTGACCTTCTGGTTCATAGGTCGATGTTCAACCACTGAACCACGCTGGGTGGGCAAGAATCTTCTTGGTTTTAATGTGATGTTAATAATTATGTATTTCCTACGTTGTATATACAGTTAACCTCTGAAAATGGGGGTTAGGGGTTCTGACCTCCCCCCCCCCACCATGCAAAATCCATGTGTAACTTTTGACTCCCCCCAAATTTAACTGCAGTTGTCCCTCAGTGTCCGGATACTAAAATTGTGGATGTCCAAGTTCCCTATATAAAAATGGTGAAGATCAATGCAGAGTCTGCTCTCCCATCTGAGAATTCTCAATGGACAGAAAATACTATCTTCATCCACAGTTGGCTGAACCCATGGATGGAAACCTGGGAATACAGAGGGTTGACTGTATATTGAAAACAAAATCTGTGTAAAAGTGGACCCCATAATTCACTCATGTTGTTCAACATAAATGAGAGCCACAATGAATTACTACTAAAAGCGTGATTTCAAAAACAATTATTTTAATCTATAGGTTCTTTCTCTTTTTTTCTTGCATTTTTAAGATCAGGTCGGCCCTGGCTGGTTTGGCTTAGTGAACAGAGTGTCAGCCTGCAGACTGAAGGGTTTGATGTCAAGGGCACATGCTCCGGTTGCAGGCTTGATCCCTAGTAGGGGTGTGCAGGAGGCAGCTGATCAATGATTCTCTGTCATCATTGATGTTTCTATCTTTCTCTCCCTCTCCCTTCCTCTCTGAAATCAATAAAAATAAAAAAAAATTTTTAAAAAAAGATCAGGTCATTTGTTCTATGGAATTTTCCAGTGTAAATTTTGTTTAATTGCACCTTGCAGTGATTTAATGTGTTCCTATACAGATTCCTGGCTCTCAAGTTGTCAATAGATCATTTAAGCTGCACCATTGATACCCAGCAGTACAAATTTTGTCTTTTAATTGCGTTAAAACTACAAAACTAAGTTATGTCTTGTATTGATTTTAAAGGATATGTTCCTAGCTCTTTTTCCTTCTCCAACCTCAAACAACACTTTCTGAAAATGCATCTTTTGCTTTTAGTCAGGTTTCAAATTCCATTAGTTCCATTATAATATAATTAAGAGTGTTTTATCATGGCGGTCAGATTTTCTCAGAAGGCCACAGTGTCAAATGTCACAGAAAAGTCAAGTAAATTAGGGACTAAAACGTGTCCATGGACATTGGCAATTTAGATCATGCATTTGTAATGCTGTTTTCTGTTATAAATGAAAAATTTCTCAACTGCTCCCTGGATGAGTAACCAATACAATGATATGACCTAAATTATGTGTTTCATACCAATTTGAACGTAACTAAAAATGAAAAATTAACCAAAATAAAACTCTCAATTTGAGACTAGTAGTATTTGTGTTAAACAAATGCAGTTAACACCCCAGCATATTAGTAGCATATCTGACAAATTTAAAATGTAAGCCACCCAGAGTACCACCATCAATTACAATGGTATTGCTCATCTCCAAGATATCAATTCCACTTTTAGAACGACTACTGGAGGTTACAAACATAACTAAGACACCTTTCTAAGCTACATGATCTAAGTGCCCCATACTTCTCTCCCCTCAGCTTTCACCTACTTTTTTTCTGCCAGGTCTCAAAGGTGAAGTAGGTCAGTTTTTCTTATCCGCTCATTTTGATTCTTACACTTCATGTTACACCTCTTCTGTGTATTCCTTTGGGGCAGTGACCTAACCATACAATTATTTTTTCCCGTACAGCCTAATAGTAATAATCTATAAAAGGACACTTAATGAACTGCATTAATCATTCAAACAAGTTTAGTATTTTTGCCATAATTATCTACATATTAATGGCACCTATGGCTTTTTAGATTTTATGACAATAGATATGTATTACCAATCTGTCCTAACTCATTTTTTTAAAAATGTTTTTGATTTTAGAGAGGAAGGGAGAGGAAGAAACATTGATGTACAAAACATCCATCGGCTGCCTCCCACTGGGGACTGAACCCGCAATCTGGGCATGTGCCGACCAGGACTGAACCTGCAACCTTTCGGTGCAGGGGATGACGCTCAACCATTTCGGCCACCCAGATCAAGTCTGTCCTAACTCACTTTGGAAGACAATTGTCCTATTTTCCTTTTATTGAAGAAATTAGCGGAATATTCAGTGGGGGAAGTGAAACAGTACCTCCTTTGTCACGTTTCGTCACTATGGAAGAAGTGGGGTGTAATGTCCCATTGACGAAGAGAATGTAGTTATGAAAAAACCTCAGCTTTCTTGGTCCCTTGTTCCCACACACTGAGGAGCTCAACTCTGCTGTCAGGTCCCTGTGGTAAGAATTCTTTTGGGGGCTACTCCACAAAACCAGAATGTCCTGAGTGCATTTCTGGTCACTCCTGCCTACCTGCCAAAAGGAAATTTTCTTTAAAAGCTTCTAACGTTTTTATATATAAGATTAACAATGAGGAACTCTCATTTTGGGGCACTGAAGCAAAACTATGTTCCCCAAGACTGTTCTCCAGGAGTCCCATATACAGTAACATCTATATTTCCAATAATTGAGGATGACATTGGAACGTCATTACTGTAACGGAGCTTTCCTTTCGTACTTGTTGAGGGCACCCAAAATACCGCCGTATTCTTTCATATTAGTGATGTCTTACTGATACAAATTACTTAAATGATTGGTCTTTAACAGAAAAAAAGTTAATTGTGCCAAATATTGAAAATACCAAGATTGGAAAGCTATACCTTTGATAAGGCAAATTCCTCTTATAGCAAACTATCATCAGTAAAAATGTTCAGTCCGTAATCTTCACTGGTGTGTAATGTAAAAGGGAAAGGCTGATGCATTTTTAAGATTGGGGATTAAAGCAGAAATAGAACTATGGTACTAAAAACATGCTGGCAGTGGAAGTATTTTGTAACTCAGCAAATAAGAATAACATGGAAGTACCTTTATATCCAACAATTCAAAAATGTTCCTACTATGTGGGCAATACAATTTTGAATGAAATTTATTTTAAAAGCTGAGGAGAAACTATACTTTATCTGTACAACAGTTTCCTATCTATTGATCAATTGAAGTTCAGGAAGTTATTGGCGGAATCTGTAATATGAGGTAAAGATTAACAACTGCTGATCCTCTTATAAAATGTTACAGTGTAGCGGGAAAGACAATGACCTGCTAGGTAAGATTAGCTGAATGTTTTAAAAAATGAAAGTTATTAGAGTACAATTAGAATGTTGATTATTTCTCCATAAGTCAAGATTTGAAATAGCACCGTAAGATTTCCATCATCTAAAAGAACTGGCACTTAATAAAGTCCTGAATTTATTTTGCTTTTATATCAATAAAAGGAATCTCAAAGAGCCAATATTCGAGTGCCGCCCGCATTTTAAGAGCCAACATAAAAGCTCCTCGCCAAGCGGCAGCACCCCCCGGATGGGATGACAGATAAGGCTGTGGCTCCAGCGGCAGCAGAGCAAACCCAGGCGCGCTCATCAGGCCACTTCTGAATTACAGAAGCATCGACTCCCACCGAGGGGAGAGATCGGGTTCTGCTGGTTCTTAAAGTTGTTCTTATAGGTGCCTTGTCCTTAGTAGAGAACTGCCTTTTTCAATTAAGCATCAAGAATTAAACCACAGAAAATTGTTTGTGACTCCATTACATGCAGACCTACAGTTTGCACAAATCAAAACCAGAACAGTTTAAGTACTAAAGTTTACAACTGATGAACCTCATGAAATTAAAATTTTAAAAATACAATTATCTTCTTTTCCACCCAGACTTCGGGGTATTTAAGATACCAAGCAATTCCACTAGCTATCCAAATTAAATTTTCTTGAAAAACCCCACCACACCATCAGAATTTGAGCCCCCAAACTAAAAAAGAACCAAATTAAAAAAACAACACACACACAGCGCAATATAGAAAGAATTTATTTGCCTCATTTGAAAAAATCTCAATAGTGCATTGAACTATAAATTCAATCTTCTCATCCGAGGAGTTGCAAACAAAGTTTAAACAGAAACGTTCCATTGCTTCAGGTTTGCATTTTGAAAACTCTTACATTTACCGAGGGAGCATATCAAAAAGCCAGACTTCAAGTATTTTAAGGCATAAACTTCGTAACGAAGGGGTCTACTCTCCCGCTCCCCGTGCCGGTTCTGCGGGAGGACAGCTCCAACTTCCAGCAAACGGCCCCCGGCGCCGAGCACCCCGAGAGCTGGAACACAAACACTGGGGCGGAGAAGTTGTGCGTCATCCTCACAGTTTCACTCCCCGAGTGCAAGAGCGAACGCGAAGGCTCTCCCCGCCTTCACGGGGTCCCGGCGCCCCCTCCCGCCCCCCTCCCCACCCCGGGACACGGTGGAACTAACGGTCCCCGCGCGGCCGGCGCCGGGCGCCCGGGCGGCCCCCGCGCCCGGAAAACAAAGGGGATCCCCGGCCATTGTCCTCGCGCCGAGCGTCACCAGCACTAGCAAGGCAGTAGCTTGCGCAGTTATCTCCACAGCGGGCAATGTCACAGCCCGACCAACAGCACAAACTACTACCTCAGCCAGGGCCCTGGTGTCCAGGCGGCCGCGCGGCGCTCCTCGTCCTCCTCCGCCGCCGTCCGACGGACGCCTTGCCCTTCCCGCCGCCCGGCCCTTCTCCGCCCAGCTCCGGGATCACCGGCGGGGCGGGCTCCGCCACGTAACCGGCCGCCCGGGACGCAGGGGAGGTGCGGGGGTAGCTCCCTCCCCGGCCCCGAGGGGAGCGCCTCCCCGAACCCCGAAAAGCAGCCACGAGGCTGCCGGAGCGCAGCCGACGCCGACGGGATCCGACGGCCCCCGAGGCCGCGAGCAGCAGCGTTCCCGCGCTCCGCCCGCCGGGAGCTCCGGGCCGTCTCGCCGAGCTCCCGCCACGTCTCCGGGCAGCGCCGCCCGCGCCCCTCCCGCCCCGAGCCCACCGTGGAGGCTGGGCGGCGGCCGGGTCCCTCCCTCCTCCGGCACCACGCTCCCCACACCCGCCGCCGGGCCGGCTCTCCGCGCGGGTGGACGCCGAGGGCGCTTCCCGCGGAGGCGCCGCGGTGAGAAACGCGGGCACAGCCCGGACGTCCCCTGGACCCTCGCAGTAATACCGTGCACCTCGGCCGGAGGCGAGAATAAAGGAACAAAACCCGTCAAACGGGAAGCGGGCCGGGCGGCGGCAGCTCCGCGCGGACAAGCCCGCCTCGCGCTCCGCGGCTCCAGTGCGCCCAGGCGGACCGTAGAGATGCCTTAAGGAGGCTCGCGCGCGGCTCCCGGCACGTGACCTCCCGGGTCCCGCCCCCGCGCCGCCATCTTACATCCGGGGCCCAGGCGGCGTCCCTCGCCCCGCCTGGGCAAGCCTCGACGTGTCACTAGAAGTCAGCCCCCAAAGCGGGGACCCTCGTTCCACGTCACCCAAGTGCTGAGGCCGCGGGCCATGGCCCCCCACCCGCTTAACGGCACAGAATGAGGCCCCTAACTGCTCCCGGTCTTTGCCCGCAAAGAAAATGGCGGCACTCACCGCCGTCTAAGTGGACACGTTGTATTCTGTGGGGTTTCAAGTTTCCGGCACCTCGTTTCGCATCCGGCGAGGGCACGGCCACTGGCGCCCCGCCCCGCGGCGTGGCCGTCGCTCCTTTCCGCGGGAAAGCGGCCGCGCGGCGCGCTTAGTGCGCAGGCGCCGGGACGTGGGGGCTGCTTTTTTTTTCTTAAAGGCCATGTTTGGGAGAAGGTCGACTGCCCTCAGCCACGTCCGCTGCCGGCCCAGACAAGTTACTTTTTGCCTCCCATTTAGGAAGTTTTGTCTTAAATTGTTTTAAAGAAAAAGTAAGCAGGGGTTGTCTAAAATTCAGAACGTCCAGTTAAGTTCGAATTGAAGATAAATGAATCGTTTTTTAGTATATGTGTCCCCCCTGTACTACTAATTTAACTGGGTGTCCTGCATTTTTATCTGTGAAATCTGGCAATCCTAGTAGTCACCAGGCTCCTGAAAACCAGGCTGCACTTAACAAAAGGAAGGGATGGAGGGATGGGGGAGGAGGCAGGTTCCCACTTGGGACTGACTGTGCGCATTGACTTGGACCCTTTCCTGGAAGCCTGAGGGCTAAGGTGCAGACTCCACAATCTGCCAATGACGCATAAAGGGGCATCCATGTGAAACTCATTTTTGGAAAAGATTTCCCCCTTAAACCAGCACAATATAATCCTATATAATAAAAGGCTAATATGCAAATCAACCAAATGGCAGAACGACCAGCCGCTATGACGCGCACTGACCACCAGGGAGCAGACACTCAACGCAGGAGCTGCCCCCTGGTGGTCAGTGCACCAGAAGCCGGGCTGATGACTGGCAAGCACAGCGGCGGTGGCAGGAGCCTTTCCCACCTCCACAGCAGCGCTACGGCTGTCAACTGCCGGCTTAGGGAGCGGGCCTAAGCTGTCAGTCAGACATCCCCGAGGGCTCCTGGACTGTGAGAGGGCACAGGCCAGGCTGAGGGACTGCCCCCATCCAGTGCACAGATTTTGTGCACTGGGCCTCTAGTGTTTAATAATAGATCCTCTTGGCCAAGAGCCTTGTTGCAAATTAAAGATTACCTAAGACTGTCTTTTTGTTTCTATTCTACTTGGTATTGGAGACGGAACAGGTTTTTGAAGAACAAGTTGTCAAGTTAAAAAGCATCCTGCCTAACATGTTTCAAAATAAATATGTAATATGCAAATTAAGAAAAAATACATGCCCAGTGACACATCTCATGTTATGCTTATTCATATGAAGGTAGTTTGTCGGGGATGTTGAATCTTTCAACTATTTCCAATTAATATTTATTTTTATGTGTATACAGAACACAGTTGAAATTAAATGCTTTATTTGATGAAGCAAAACTCAACTGTGCATCACAATGATGCTTACCACAAAATCTGTAGAAACTTCACCAGTGGTTTCATTATATATCACACCACCCTGTCCTGGTAAGCAATGATTGGGCGGCCAGGGCACCACCCCTCACTGCTCCTTCACTGCACAGTGGACCACACACTATCCTGCACCATAGCAAATGTCATCTGTCATAGTGGTTCAGATTTTCAAAAGGTCCTTAAACAGTTGTTTGGTCTACAGTATACAGATACATCATAGCAATAAGTTTCCAACATAGTCATGACACTACTTTAATTGTATCAGATTCATTTCCACAATTAACCTGTTTTTTTACAGTGCTAACACCAATGCACTCATCATCCAGACACAATGTGCTGTTATCTTTATTTTTCTGTGCCCTTAATTTCCAGAATCTAAGCATCCTCGCCAAATGTGACCACCTGCAGCTAATCAATCCTTCATAGCAGGAAAATTGCAACAGCTTTCTATCTTATAGTCCCTCCACTCCATCTTATAACTGCAAGTTTATCTTCCTTAGTTTCATAATTTACTCCTAAAAATCCTCACTCCAAACTCCTGCCATCTCAAACCTAAACTACTCTGCTTGGCTTTAAAGGAATTTCATGAATGGGCCTCAATTCCTCACTGGTAATCTTGTTTCACACACATACCAAAATGTACTCCCAGTTTCCTCATATTTCAGATATGCCTTGCTCACATTGTCTTTACCTGAAATATCCTTTGAAACCATCCAAAATCTACCTTGCCATCAAGGCCCATTGTAAGTTCTGTCTCTACCACTGACTCTTTTCATTTCTTTATTGATTTTCCTTATTTATATTAACATTAAATATTAAACTGAACCACAGAGGACTAGGCTCAAGTTCTTTATTTTATAATCTCATTTAATCTGTGCTTGTCTTCCACAGTTCTTTGCACATTTACAGTCTTTCTTATATTCCTTGCAAAACTGTGAACTCCCTGAGGGCAGAGAGTAACTCAATGCCTAACACCTGATAGGAGCTAAAATGATGACAGGAATACTTAATTATATACAATCTTGTGTTTACTAGCTATATACACCTGAGCACTCCTACTGACTTTTGTCAACAAAGCAAGGACACAATTATGAGCATATAGATTCTTAACCTGCAGTGCTTGTCCCAATAAAATGCAAAAAAAATATATATGAGAAAGTACAGGTTTTTGCCCATCTTTGAATGATATATACCAGAAGTGTATTTTATTTATGTAACACCCACCTAGCAGTTACATGGGCTAGGGACAGTACTTTATAACACTGCTTTTTAAATCTTAATAAAAAACTATGTGAGTTAAACACCATATTAACTCCCTTTTACATGAGGAAAGAAAAACAGGTTAACTAACTTGCTATTTTTAAACTGTCCTGGACCAATAATAAAAACCCAATAAAGCTCTGGAGGTCATAGTCATTAAACAAATATCTTCTTCACAGTATTTGAAGTTCTTTGTTCTGTTCAAGTGTATTTGTCTCAACATCTATTCAGAGAAATAGTTGTGTAAAAAATATTAAAACATTTTTTCTTTGAGAGATGGAAGTATGGCCTAGCATTGCTATAAACAGGCAGTCTTAAAATACTGGTAAGCCTCACTAAATTGAAAATATATAGGAGTGCTTGTAAAACAAAAGAAATGATTATAAGAATCTAGTCCACTTGCTGAAACCGGTTTGGCTCAGTGGATAGAGCGTCGGCCTGCAGACTGAAAGGTCCCGGGTTCGGTTCCGGTCAGGGGCATGTACCTGGGTTGCGGGCATATCCCCAGTGGGAGATGTGCAGGAGGCAGCTGATCGATGTTTCTCTCTCATCGATGTTTCTAACTATCTCTCTCCCTTCCTCTCTGTAAAAAATCAATAAAATATATTTAAAAAAAAAAAAAAAAGAATCTAGTCTACTTGAGAACTGTTTTTTACCTGACCTAGAATTTTTTAAGTTCAACGTTTTTTGACCTAGAATTTTTACACAAAGTTCTAAATCTGCTTTCCAAACGGCTGAGATATATTTCATAATGTTCTTCTATGTTTTTATTTTCACTTTACCTATTAATAGTTTCAACAAAGCTCTCAAAAACACACCTTCCTTATTCTATTTTAGAAAAGTTTTCCTCAATTGACAGCATATGTAAACCATCCTAGACATATTTGAATGATTAATTATGAAGTCTGTTAAACAGATTCAATAATGTGGGGTATCACTGATGTATTGAACCTAATGGGGATGAGAAAGCCAACACAAAGTACATTAAAGAAAAAGTGAGTCATTTATCATATCTGGAAGTAAATTCTCAAAGTGGTTATGCTTTTAAGTTATACTGAGAAAACTAGCACTGCTAGGACATAATTTTTAAAAATCTGAAGTCATGCAGAGTGGTAACTGTAAAGCAATTTAAGGATCTATACAATCACAGCTGTAACTATATAGCTTTAAAAAATGTTTTTATTGATTTCAGAGAGAGGAAGGGAGAGGGAAAGAGAGATAGAAACATTAATAATGAGAATCTCCAATAGGCTGCCTCCTGCACACCCTCTACTGGGGATTGAGCCTAAAACCTGGGCATGTGCCCTGACCAGGAATCAAACTGTGACCTCCTGGTTCATAGGCTGACACTTAAGCACTGAACCACTCCGGCCAGGAACTTGCAGTTTTTATGAAAAATCTATCCTAGGCCACAAAGAAAATCTGGGTTTGAGGCCAAGAGGCTTTCATGATTATAATAACTGATACATCTTAACAACATAAAAAGTGCAAAGAGAAATTGTAACAACAGCAGTATTACTTTCAAGAACTGCATTGCGAGCTAAAAAAGAAACTCACCAAATTAGATAAATATATCCAGTCTGACATAAACATCATATGGGTAACTGCTTTAAGAGACAGAAGTTGTATGTTATATGTTAAAATTATGACACAGAAATAGTAAAAGCTGGAAAGCAAATGCAATTTGCACAGTTGGGTCTGAAGCCTAATATTTTATTTTATTTTGCTAGATAAAAAGACTAAGATTATAATATTATAGCTTTGGAAATGTTCTCATATCTAGTAAACTTCACAGAAAGCAGTTGTTATATTGCAGTCATTACCCAAATACTGGTTTGGTTTTGATCTTTCCTCCACTATTTATCAAATGTTGTATAAAATAAAACAATGTAACTAAATTTGCAGCAACTGAAAATGGAATCAAAACTCAAGGGTACAATAATTTTCTTTTTCTTATCTCACAGTATAATTAGGAATGTTTGAGCTGACCTCTGTAAGCACCAAGCACATGGTTACCAAATACACCCTGGAAAGACCTGAAGAGAATACTGTAACATTCTAGGTCTTCTATCAAAAGAATACTGTTTTGTAATAGAAAACCAGAAATAGCTAAAATACATGGGCAATATGCTGTGCCATGTCCTCCTATTTAGATCATGTAAGTCTAAAATAACTCAAAGCATCTGCCTGCAAAAACAAACAAAAGGGGGGGGGGGAACTTAATGTAAGCTCATTTCCTTTTTGAGAAAAGTGCTATGATCTCTCAAGCCACATAACAGCAAAGACATGATTATTCCAAGTTTAGTTGCTGAATTCATATTTATAGCATCCCATTTTGTGGGCATCCTCACTACTGAATCCTGTGGATTCAGAAAGATAGTAGGAGCTCTAGTCACAAATTATTTTAACTTGACTCTGGTCAGTGTGGTCCAGTTGGTTGGGTGTTATCCCATTCACCAAAGGACTGCCAGTTCGATTCCCAGTCAGGGCACATGCTTGGGTTGTGGGTTTGATGCCCAGTAGGGGGTGTGCAGGAGGCAGCAG